CATTGTCCAATCAAAACTACAAAAAGACATCATAAAGTCACAGCAAACCCAGCGCAACGACATTAAATAACGTTAACAAGTTTTCTTGCCGGGTTTGACTCCCGGGGCTGAGTCAGCTAATAAGACCGCTAGCTGCAGGGCTACCAAAGCTAACCTGCTAATGTTAACTTTATGCGGGGGAGCGCCGTCATTCTCTGCTGGGTCCCCCTGCCCTTGTCTGAGAACCTCCAAAGTAACAGCAGAGAAAATCTAAAAATATTTTCTCCATAAAACATGATCCAGTTTCATCAAAATCAGTGAAGTTGTGTTTGTTTTGTCCAGTAACATTAACATTAAGCAGTGAGGCATGTCTACTGATATAACATTAGGCCAGGATGAGTCATCTTTTGTTTTATTTTTTACATAATGTTAACTGAAGTATTCCAGGAAATTACAAACTCTAAATAAACGATACGATAAAAATTGCTTCAAAACAATGTTTTCATTTCGTTCCCCAATATTAGTGCATTTGTGACATATAGATCGCAATTAAACATCAATTTTGGTTAACTTGTTATCTGATGCTAACAGTTAACTAGCTAACGTTAGCTAAAATGAGCTAGCTTGTCTGAACCACAGTTATTTATATAGCCATATAGCATTATATATTTACTTTTTCAGAATATATTAAAGCTATCATAGCTTTTTTAATATATAATATATTAATATATAGACCTTTGTGGCTAACTTGCAGTATTACCGCCTTACCTGCTAATGCTGAAGTCCTCTGTCACGTAAGACCTGTTGCCTTGACACCGCGCTCCATCTTGAATGCATACTCCTTGCTGCTCACCTCTTCAGAAACTTTCGGCGCTTTGTCTCGCCCCTTTTTATAGAAGCCTGTATACAGGCTAATTACATGTGGCTTACCTTTGCCAGTCTCTGCCTGTACTGTTACTATTAATAGTCTCTTAGAATCTTTAGAGCTTTCTGCCCTGCACTTTTGACAACCATCTCTAGGTGATCCTGGGCCCATAACCATAACAGTATGATTGTTCGATTCTGGCGTGCACGCCCAGTGCTAATCTATGAATAATGATGGAGTAATAAAACATGGTGGGGCATCAGCGCTCGTGGTGGAACTCTCCCTCTGGACATGTCACATGTCAATCTCAGCACATCTTATTGGTTGTTGGCATTGCTCATCATAAAAGACCTGTGTTAACACATTGAGAGCACATTTGTTTCTATTATGTCAACATTCCCATTTACAGTCTCTTGAAAGTCAGTATTCTTCAACTCCTCAACATTAATGACCCGAAGACCACAAGACCACAATGTAGGTTACCAAGTGCAAAACAGACATAGGCTCCTACTCTGGAAATGCCCCTTTCATGTCTAAATTTTGAGACTGGGGAGAAACTATATTCTGTTACAGTACAAAAAAAGACGTAATCAGATTACAGGTAGGGCCTACATTTTGTAATATCGGGGATTACTCATAAGGTTTCCATGAAACAGAAAACGCAGTGCAATTTGCCTCTGTATATGTTTTTAATAAACGGTCTATGTGTATGTGTTTCTGTTAAAACACAAAGCTAGGGAGGGACATGCTGCAGGTGCTGATTGGCGTTTACAGTCACCAGTAGTGCCGAATGTGTGTTTACGCCAGGTTTACGCTCCCACCCTGTCATGAAGACTCTGTGTGGACCAGTTCCAGCTCTCAATGAGTAAACACGGCACCTGGACCGGGACGGAGCACAGCCTCCGAGACCAGCAGAGGCCAGTTTGACCACTGTGAATACAGACAGTAGAGGTTGTTCTAGCTGTATTTGGCTTTTGGCACCCCGGGGCTAAATAAACTAATAAATAACAATAGAACCACTAGCAGCACGGCTAACCGCCCGAGCTAACCAGCCACAGATACAGGCAGACAGGCTACAGTTGGCGGTTTACCAAAAATCAGAGCTATCTATCAAGAAGCTCTGTGTAAATCAGCCCAGTACTGGATTCCCTGTTGGTCTTTGAGGCTGTGTTTTCCGTCCTATTCATGCCGTGTTCACGGGGATGCTGCTGAGCGAGGTGTCACCCCTCAATCATTCCCTGCTGCCCGCCCAAATGGCCTGAAAACTTCCAGTGCTTGAGTAAAGGTGTAACAAACACTCCCCCGGTACTCTGAGCTCTCAGTACAGGCAGAGCTAATCTGACCAGTGGTTGCACAGCTAACTGAGCTATTAACAGCAGTTAGCTGTTAACTAACTTCAGCCACAAGTAAAGCCATCTGTCCATCAGGAAACTCTGTGAATCACAGAGACATCAGAGAGAACACTAGAATATATAATATTTCTCTTTCATATTTGATCCAGTTTCACCAAAATCAGTGAAAAAATGTGTTTTTGTCCAGTAATCAGATCATCAAACACTATACTTCAGCAGCATTATATTGAGAAATCTTTTCAGTAAGTGCAGAATGAGTCATCAACATTTTAAAATTCTTTTCTAAATTGCTCTTAAATATCATCAAGAATACCTACAAAACATATTTTTTTTGTCATTGATGTGCCAGATACTGCCATAATGATGACATCAAATAAAACACATTTAAACATGCATTTTGATTTCATGGTGATGGAAGCTGTTGTATATTTCTCTAGAAATACACTAGTAATAACAAGTAATTAGTAATTATACATTATAATGTAATTTATATTATTACATTTTTAAAGTAATCCTCCCAACCCTTTTGTTTAAAGTCCTACACCTGCAAGGAGGTTTATTTCAGTGGATCAAGCCTATAAGCCTCTTTCTTGACTATATCCCACTGTTTCAGATACTTTACAAAGAGGGCGCCATGCCCTAGTCTGGAATCCTCCTGGGGTCCTTTAGAGACAGAAAGACTCTTTAAAGCTGCTCCTCTCTGTTCTCACATTGCTTTGATTCTTGTTTTTATTTTAACCCCCATGACATGATGTTATGTTGGCATACTGCTGTCTTTTGTTTCTCTTTGATTGTCTGTCTGATCCCTTGAAAAACTAGAATAAAAAACTAGTGTGTTAACTTCATTGTAGTTTAGCATCATTGCAAGCTGACTTTGTTTATGTCACACCATCATAAAATAAAATGCACATTTAGATAGTTCACATTATACTACACAAGAAAGGAAAAAGTCTTTTTTTTCTCTCCAGAAATTCAGCTACATTTTTCTGTAAAGCCACTTAAGCTCTTATATTCTTTTTTTCTGTTCTTCATCACTCAATGTGTCTCCCTCTGTCATCTACTTTCTTCTCATGTAATAATGATAATAATAATAATAATAATAAAAATAATCTTTATTTGTAGAGCACGTTTCAAAAACAAGTTACAAATTGCTTTAACAAGTGTAAAGACAATAATACCCAAGAGACAATAATACAAAAACAATACAAGATAAAAGCATGAAAACATTGAAAAGACTAAAATACACGTTTAAGATAAATATAAAATTAGTAAAATAGAATAAAATAAAAGGGATAAAATAAAGTCAAATAAGATCGGGAAAGGCTCTCCTATAAAAGTATGTTTTAAGAAGGGACTTAAAAGAGTTCACTGACTCAGCCGACCTGATTTCCTCGGGCAGGTTGTTCCAGAGCCTCGGGGCCCTGACAGCAAACGCTCTGTCCCCAGTGCTGGGGCGGACAGGGACACGGACAGGAGATCGCGGAGCGGCTGGCTGCGCTTCTTTTACAGCAAAAAATTACTATATTCAGGCGGGGGAGTGTCAAGTCAGCTCAAGTCCAAGTGAAGTCACGAGTCATTGGTGTTGAAGTCAAAGTCGAGTTGCAAGTCTTCTTTGATTTTGTCAAGTCAAGTCTAAAGTCATAATTTTTGTGACTCAAGTCTGACTCAAGTCCAAGTCATGTGACTTGAGTCCACACCTCTGGACAGAGGTGTGCAATCCTGTAATGGGATACTAAGATGTTGTCTGTGACAAAATAAAGAACACAATGGTTAATCGGATCCGCTGTCAAATCGTACCTTGGACCAGGAGGCAATGCCTCTTTGGCATGTCTGACTTTGAGGTTGCTGTAGAATAAGAATTAATTGCCTATGTAATGTCTCTAAAACAGCGGTGCAGTCTCTCGACTCCACAGAAATCATAGAATGAATAGTCCTTGTAAGGTGCCATAACTCAGTATAATGTCTGGTTATTGGGTTATCCTGAATAGATTGGATGCAGTAGACGACACGGATGAAAAAGTCCTAAACATCATTCATCACAAATGGCTAAATGGAAAACACTGTGGAGTAGGTCCAGGTTGCAGCTCTGTTACAATGAAACCGCTTCCGGGCGCACTGAAATTAGTTTACACACACTCTATACACAGACACACACATGCACACAGACACGTAGCCTGTGTCCCACTGTGTTTGAAGGTGGGAAAGGGTTAGAGCGTGGAACCTTTCACTGTGTATGTGCCCGTTTTCAGTGTCTGTGCACACATTGTTGGTGCTTGTGTGTCTGTATGTATTTGTGTGGATTCACCCTAAATGGCCTCTTATAGGATGCTGCATAGCCATGGTAAAAGTAAATCTGCAAACACAGGGGGAGGAAACGCTCAGCTCTTGTACTTTGTGTAGCAAAACCACTGTGTAGATATACTCAGATACAGGTAAAAATAATTAATCCAATACCATGTCTGCTGCACAAATTATAAAAGCAGTCCTTTTTAAATAATTTGACTGTTAAGTAACTAAAGATATAATATATAATAAAAGTAATGTGGTGAAATACAATATTTTCCTCTGAACTGTAGTGGAGTAGAAGTATAAAGTGGCATAAAATGGAAATACTCAATCACAGTACAAATATCTGAATATTGTTACTCTCCCCCACTGGCTCAAAGGATGGTAAAGTTAGTCTTTCCCAATACACCATTCATAAAGCTATAACCTTACCAAGTAAAAACTTTTTATTATGTGTTAATTAATTCATGAATTGCTCATATTAGCGATACATTGTAATCTATAAAGAACCACAGCTATTCTTTTCCAATTATTTATTTATTACCAGTATTCTGTTCGTTTCACAAACAAGGAACAAAATAACTAGAGAGACACACAAATGTAAGTCTATAGCATAGAGATACTGAGCAGCAGTATTTACAGGTATGAGAATCTGTAAGTCATATACATAGACACATGCCCACAGAGATGCATACAACACTTACAACTATTATTGCTACAGCATAAGAAGGCCTGTACATACATTAAGTTATATTTTCTGGTTAGCTTACACAATTGCAAAAAGCGCATTACATGTGAATAAATACAATCATCTCAATGGTTAAAGTTTCTCCCCCTTGTTCAGGAGTCACGGTTCATGACAGGTTTTAACACTGTTTTGACTTTGGACTGCCCATTATAGCATCTAACCTTAATTGTGCTCTATTCTTGACAGAAACTACTGCCCTCTTTGCTGTGTACTTGATATGCTCGAACACCTCCCATCACTGCTCCTGAAACCAATCCCAATACACCCAGTGGCATACCCAAAAAAGCTCCTAACAACGCACCTGTTCCAATACCTACATATTTGGCCAAAACCTCCCTGACTGTTTTATTCTCAGCCAGCTTTCTGATCTCTTCCTCTGACATGTTTTCTGATTCCAGTCTAATCTGCTTCTCCTCCTGTTGTATTTGTTCCTCCACTGCTTGTAGCATCTCATTGGTGTAGCAGTTTCCATTGTTTTCCATCACTATCTTTTCTATTGTGTTAAGTAGCTCCTCCACCTGGAACCGGTTGCTCCTGTATTCATCCTTTGGGTTTTCGTTCCAGTAGTTATTATCAATGACGTGGCAACGGCCTCCGCACTTCTTCACCAGCTCACTCATGTACTCATTCTTCTGGACATGATCCTCAATTTTCTGTCCTTTACGGAGCTGGTCACCATGAGTAAAGAGAACTATTGCATATTTGAAAGCTTCTTCAGAAAAGTATTCGATTATTTTGTTGATGACAGCCTGCTCATGCTCTGTGACTTTCTCTAATTTAAGCAAAATGAGAAAAGCATGAGGACCAGGAGCGGACTTTACGATACAGCGCACTATCTCAGACTTCAGCTCCTCCTCAGATCTATCAGTGTCAAAGAAACCAGGAGTGTCGATCAAAGTGATGCTTCTTCCATTGACAGATCTGGTCTCTGCTTGACATTTTCTTGTTCCAGAATTGAAAGAATCATCGATCTCGAACTGTTCCTCTCCAAATATGGTGTTAGCCAGGCTGCTTTTTCCAACTCCAGTTTTTCCCAAGATGACAATTCTTCTGTTTGACCCTGAAAGAAAATCAGTAATTTACACTGTACATTTGTGTTTTGTTTTCTTAGATAAAGATACATAAAAACTCAATTACAAAAAAATCTCATTGATCAAAAATCATAATGAAAAAATAAGCTGTTAGTAGGCTACTCAGAAAATATCTACATTAGCATAATACACAAATTAATAATTGTATCAATACATTAAAAAGCCCACATGTGTTTTAATGATCAAAAGCACCTCAAATTATTTACACAGTAAATATTTATACAGTAGCCTATCAATCGCTGTTCAACAATAAGCTATTTATTGTGGTAAAGTCCACTGAGGATCATTTTGTGAACAGCTTTGAATAAGGATAGGGTTCAAGGTACGAGGGAACCAGTGGGGGCTGAGATCCCACGGAAGAAGTAAAATCATGCATCTGTGGGGGTCAGTAATTTGTTACTATTTTATAACCATTATTTTGAATAAAAAGAATGTATTTGTCAATTGAATTAGTATTATTTACATCAACAAGACAAACAGGCTAAAATAAACATGTTTTCCAAATGAACTATGCTGCGCACCGTATGACTGTCATCATGACAGGATGGCTGCACTTCTCCAGCAGGCAATCACTATTGTGCACAGAAGGCTACAAAATTGATCTAACACAAGATTAGACCACGAACATGTTGTAGTCTGCTGTATCAGACTCTGCATTGCTGCTTGTTTGTTTTAGTCGTATTGGTGTTATCATGCATCCTCCAGTTAGTATAGGGAAACATATGATACTATGCTTCCTATGAGCTGGCGTAGTGTAAAATAATTACACTTTTATGATACCATAAAGGGCGGAATTGCGGTCTCTCCTTTAACGATTTGTCGTTGTTGGCATATTTCAGGCTATTGAAATTTAAACTCTGTTGCTATGCCGCAGACATCTGGGTCAAGTAATGGGCTGCTGTGTGTGTCCGTGTGTGTGTGTGTGTGTGTGTGAAAGTGTTGAACAATATAATGAGCAATGAAGTCATTGTTTCTCTCTCTGGGCATATTATTTATTTATTTATCTCCGCCTGTACCGTTATATTAGAGACCGCCACAAAGTGCAGACTATAACATGTTCTTTTGGCCCTGATCGCTTAATGGATTCAGTTAGTATTTGCCATCCTGTATGAGTCCAATTTGATGCTTATATTCACCTAAATGTTGATTAAATGTGTATCTAAAACAATGACATTATTTTGTTAGTTAGTTCCTGTTTTATTTAGTCCTTCCTCATGTGTCTTGGGTTATTTTACTTCCTGCCTTTTGTTTCCCTGCTAATAAGTAGACATTAACAGGATAATAACCTGATAATAATATTTAAAATAATATAGGTTGGCATTTTCACATGTTAGAGGCTACTATAGTTAATACCTATAAAATCACATACATTTTTTGCAAAGTCAAAATAGTTAATTACCATATAATTCCTTTTGTTTTCAGGTAATACTGTAAAAAGGACGTGTTTAATACGGTGACTAACTGGAAACACTGTTATAGTTTCTGTATAATAACCATGAATCTGGGTTACAATATGCTAAACTGTCTGTTTCCATTTAAGTTCATGGTGCAGAGGGGTGGAGCTCAGCTCTGGCAGCGGGCGGGCGTGTGAGTGAGACGAGCACGAGCTTGACTGTTTCACGGCATTGCGTCCCGCTTGTGGCTGTCACCTCCCTTTTCGATTGCCTCATGAAAATAGCTTACTCACTTCCCGTCTGGTTACTGATTGTTGATTAGGCCTACAATAGTTAGTCTACAGTTTGTTTCAAATATTATTGCAAGGCTAATTTAGCAAAATAGGCCCATGTGATTCCCGAATATACGTTATTGTTAGGTTACATTAAAATATCCCTTCAGTGAGCAGTGTTGGCAAAGTGAAAGAAGTAACCTTAACTCACCGTCCATGTTGTTATAAGAGAGATCAGTGAGGAGGAAAATCCGCTGCTCTGATGCAGGATTTCTTCTAATTTCACTTTCACTTTGTTTGAAATGTGGGGGCGGTGCTTTAAGGTCTGGGTATCTCTGGATAATCCGTAATTAGTTTGTAATTCTAAAACGAAAATACTGATCTGTTTTTTGTTTCAAAACGAAAAATCAAATAACCATTTTTGGTGTCAGAATCAAAAAAGGAAAAACCAATTAAAATTAACTTCAGTCAATTCGTTTTTCGTTATAAACCAAAAACGGAAGTCATGTGGTCTATTCCTTTTATGGAAGGCATAGTAACCCGTAAAACCTTCAAAATAAATTTAGCCCATGTGACGTGTAATTAGAAAGGTGATTTTAGACTAAAACTAAACTAAAATAACGTTTTTTTAGTAAAACTAAAGTAGCACTGGGTGTGAAAAAAACACTTTAGCTAACTGAAATAAAAACAATAACTAATAAAATAATAACTGTTTGGCAGTTTCCTAACATCTTTATAGGCCTTCTTGCTATGTGGAAGCTCAACCAGCAGAGGTCGCTGTGCCCCTTTCTGTGAAATAGTCCTTCTGTGGCACCAACAGGCAATAAGATTTTGACCTTTTGACTTGCGTTTATATCAAAGAAAGGGCTGCATTGCTACCAGAGGAAGCTAATCAGTTTGAAGGGTGTGCAGAACGTCACCTGCCTTCCAGCTTTTCTTTCTATGCTGCTATAGCTGCTAAAAACTCTCAGCTTCCACCATCTACTGTTATGAGTCAAAACAAAACTCTTCCAAAACAAATCTGTTGAGTTGTATAATTTTTATTTTCCTTTGCATTTTTCTCCAATCTAATATACTTATTATGTTAGTTAAGTAGATTAAATATTTTTAATGCAGCCTGTAGTTCTCATTAGTTATGTAGGCCTACTTATGTGTGAAACCTGGTGAACATTAAAGGAAAAACTTGAGTATTGGGGAGAAATCTGCTGTTATCTTGGCCATCCTATCTGTTTCCTGGAGGCTGAGTGTAATATGCGATGGTAACTGGATCGAGTTAATGTTCCTGATTGTTTGTTGCAATTTGTTTTCAAAAGTATGTACAGCACTGTCAGTGTGATTCTATCTTTATCCTTGCAACATTAAGTGTGAGGGATGTGTGTGGACAGATTGATTCAGTGCTGCGTGTTGCTTGTTTTGTGAGACATGCTTGATATGTTAAAAGGAAGAGAACTCAGTCCTGCTCTGAGTTTGATGATTTGTATCAGATGTGAGAAAATGTCACTAGAAGTTGCTGTCGGTATTCTGTGATGTGACAGAGGGAATATCAGAAGGTTTTTCTTCTGAGGTGTTTGTGAATGACCACATAAAGCTTGGTGTTCATCTGACTGATGACCCCTCAGATTGTTAACTGGCAGTAAAGGCTGCTCTGGAGAAGATTGAACAATGTACTCAGACTTTCTCATCTGTTTAGGGGAGTTTGGCCCCAGTCCCCTTTAGTAAAAAGACAAACAAAAAAACTACTGTGTTTGTGTATTTATAGCTAGCTGCTTAATAACTCTGATAAAACTAAATATTAACCGATGGTTCGAGTTTGATAACAAGGCTAGCTGTTTAAATGTAAGCTTGTATATGAGTGAATTAGTTAGCCTGTGTGGTTATCCATTTTCTTGTTGTGATGGGTAGGCTTTCGGCCTAGTAATGCCACAATCTAGTTTCACCCTCTCGTGTACCGCCACCCTGCCTCTCCAGTAGCGGGCACACACCTGGAGACAATTACCTCATTAAGAGTTGATGTTCAGGGAGCGCTCAGGATCTCTCTTGATGCTTTGTATTGTAGTGGGGTCAAGGAGCAGGTTAGGTTTTTCGATGGTGTGCCATCAAACTTTTGTGAACACTTTAATTTGTTTTTATTACAGGCATTTTAAGCCACCTGTCGCTGAGACCCTGTAGACTACATGGCCTGTTCTGCTAGAGTTCACTGCAGAGATGGCCGTGAAGGTTGATACACTGAGTTGCCTTAAACGTCTGCTCCTTGAATGAGGTGGAGTCAGAGCTGGGTGGATGATTTACTGCATTAGTTGAGGGTTATATAACCACTGCTGTTTTGCCTGCCTGATCAACTACTGATTTTGTGTCCTGATTTTAAATGGGAATTCTTTTTATGAGACTCTGTTACAAGTGAACAGGCCCTGTGAATGTTTTTGCTAGGTTCTGCTAAGGGTGGGGCAATTTACTTGTTTTATGGCTGTGACTTCCCTCAGCCCTTTTCCCTCTTTTTTTGAGTGTTCTGCCAGACTGACAGGGTGGTGGAGGACTGTGGGAGCCTGTCTTCCCTTCACTGCTGTGTGTGTGTGTGTGGACCTTTTAACTGAGCCTTATTGTGTGGTGTTTCATGTGGGTGACTTGTCTTTAGGTGGTGCAGCACACCTGTGGGTGGTGGTGTCAGGACATTCTGGTGGCAATTGTGCTTTTGTAAAAGTTTGCTTTTATCCTTTAGCATCTCTGCAGCATGGGCCTTAACATCCTGTTGGTTTAGTATTATTAAAACTGCCCAAAACCTGATCTTTAAATTTTGATGTTTCATAAATCACCTTTCCAGTTGAAACGAATGTGTCTCTTGTAAAGAAATGCTCTGTTTAAAAATAAGTTAATAATAATAAAATCCCATGGGTTAAAATGAGATTATATCATGGATCTGTTCCAAGCTTGGTTATTTACTTGTAGCGCTACGCTAACCTTTCTAAGGAGGACAGTAGTCCAAAAATGTTCAAGTAGCACAGAATTAATTTATAATTATGTATTATATACATAATATGCCGGAGCTCCTTCTCCTTGTGTGCAATGACAGTTTTATGATGTGAAAACCAGTAAAGACTATTGGATCTGAACACTTGACATAGGCCTACAAATGTTGATTTTTAACTAAATCTACATCTGTCCACTGCAGAGGCTCTAACCACAGCCTGGAGGAGGAACTAGTATAAATGACTGTTATATAATAACCACAACATTATAGCAATATTTGCAGTAGGTTTTAGTCTTCACTAACCAACTGTGCTTGTAAATCATTTAAGGGCGTTTGGTGTCCGAACAATAATGCTGCGATGATGTGTTGAGGAAGAAATCCGCTTGACATGTTCTTGATCATAAAAGTTTATTACATCAAGGAGTTCAGCATCAATTACAAGCTCTGCAGCAGCTTGGAGAGTGACCCAGCCCGATGGCCACTGTCTCTCTGTACATCAAACATAGCTTATATAGGACATGTTTAGGTATCTGGTACCAGAGAAGGGTACAGTACTATTCTGAGGTAACATAACACAGGGTCAGAGGTCAAATTCTATAGAAGGGTTCACTCCCTACATAACCATCAATCACTACTCCCTCCTTAAGAGGTCACTGACCACCTGTCCAGCTGCTAGAGTCAAATGCACATATGTTACACACCACAGGCGTATGCGAGTGAAAGAGCACTGCAGAGCCCTGCTTCACTTTACTGTTGCCTACTGTATATGATATGAATGTGTATTAAAATACAGAAGTTGACATCATCCTTATTTACAAAAACAGTGCCACAATTACAAGGTGTGTTTACCGTAAATCATGATAGAAATATCTGAAAGTGCCAACAGGACCCTTTTATGGTGCTGGAGGAAGGAGTGGTGTTCTGCTTTGTCCTGACAGTCCAGCATTAATTTGAAGAGAGTGATGGGGCCAGACTTGATACGATCATCAGTCCTCAAACCTGCACAGGCTCACATCCTCCAGGTATTGGGGAAAATCTGGGAGGTCCTGAGATGAGTACCAGGGAGAAAAACTAAATGACTCAACTTCACTTTTATTTGACTTTACACAAGTATGAACAGTACAGAGCACTGCCTTTTCCTGATGGTTCATCAAACAGAATTAAACCCAAAAAACATTAAAAGATCTGAAAGCCTGAGAGCTAGAGATAATTTTTGACTCTCAGTAATGCGCACCAGGTTTCACGCATAACTTATAAGAACTACAGGCTGCATTAAAATTATTTACTCTACTTAACTAACATAAGTATTTTACACTGCCAAAAACTGCAAAGGAAAATAAAAAGTTTACAACTCCACAGATTTGTTTTGGAAGAGTTTTGTTTTAACGCATAACAGTAGATGGTGGAAGCTGAGAGTTTTTAGCAGCTATAGCACCATAGAAAGAAGCTGAAGGCAGGTGACGTTCTGCACACCCTTCAAACTCAGTGATCAGCTTCCTCTGGTCGCAGTGCAGCCTTTTCTTTGATATAAACACAAGTCAAAAGGTCAAAACCTTGTTGCCTGTTAGCGCCACAGAAGGGGGCAGAGTGACCTCTGTTGGTTGAGCTCCCACATAGCAAGAAGGCCTATAAATATGTTAGGAAACTACAACATGAATTAAATAATATGAACTTAATACATACTCTCTTACAAATGTTTAATTCTCCCTAACAGCCAGAGTTATTTTATTATTATTTTTATTTCAGTTAATTAAAGTGTTTTTTTCACACCCAGATTTTGTTTAGTTTTATAACCTAGTAAAAACGTTATTTTAGTTCAGTTTTAGTCTATAATCACTTTCTAACTACATGGTACATGGGCTACTTTTATTTTGAAGGTTTTACCACTTGCTTTAGCTTCCATAAAAGGAATAGACGACGCGACTTTCGTTTTCGGTTTATAACGAAAAAGAATTGACTGAAGTTCAGAGACTCTCTTCATTCTTTGTTCAAAGAGAAATAACGATACAATGAATCGCCAAAAACTAAAAACGGGCCGTTTTTAATTGGTTTTTCGTTTTTTGATTCTGACACCAAAAACGGTTATTTGGTTTTTCATTTTGACACAAAAAACAGATAGACAGTATTTTCGTTTTTGTATTACAAAGGATTTACGGATTATCCAGAGAGACCCAGACCCATCTACTGGTCACTTTTAATATGAACACATCTTGGTAGGGGTTTTATTAAAGGTTCAGTGTGTAAGATCTAGTGGCATCTATTGGTGAGGGTTGTGAATTGCAATATTCTATCCAGCCTACCACTGCCCCCTAACTTTCATAGAGGGTAAGACAACTACTGT